TCTTTGTTTTTATTTTTTATTTACCACTGTAAATACAAAAATTTGCGAGTGCTCGAAGGCATTGATAATCGACTGGATGATATGATTGAGTGTCATTAAGTTGCATAAGTTGAACTATTAATTCTACAACACCAGAAGCTTCAAGTGGATCGCGTGAAATTTCTATTTTAATAGTATAAAATTTTAAATATAAGATACGGTAAAATGGATAACTTCAAGAATTGACAATTAAATATCAATAAAGAAAATATACTACCATTTTTTGCAAAATTCGCAATCATCTCCACTGTTTTCGATACTTTAGACCAAGCATCTGTTTTACTTTCTGAAGTCGAGCTCTGGTTTGATATTATTTTCTTGCAACTTTCGAGACCAGCGATCAGTGAAGGAAGAGATTGGATCAGTTCATTATCGGGGTCTGATAGTACACAATAAGGGAACAAATCAATAATCTTGACGCTGTCAATTTAACACAATCGGAGGTAAAAAAAAATTCTTACCATTTGAAGTGTTTAATTGATTAAATAAATCCTCGAGGTTTAAAACGGCACTATTCGGATCTATAGGTTTGTACACATCGTAAGCAAGCTGAGATTCCATTTTTTTTTGGCACAAACTGAGAGAAAACTGCATAATAAACTTACGATTACTTAAATCGTCAGCCATGTTGATCGGTAGATGATAAATGAATTTTAGAACTTTTATGGATGAGTTTGCATGAACATCTAACCTTATTTGCGATTGGATAGAAAATATTGAAAGTTGGATCTGTCTAACCTGTCCTACAAACCGCAAAAATTCTACAGACTTCCCTCTTCACATTTTAACAATATTTGGATATTTTGTTGCACTACTTAGTCTCAAAAAGAAACACCATGGAGCTAACCTTATTTGTCATAATAAACTCAAATTTTTATGCTGCGTTTGTTCTCACTCCTCGCCTGTCTCTCATTGTCACAACTTTCTATGCTTTTATTAATATATCCAAATTATTTTATATATGCCACTTCAACGTTGGTTTTTCGTGAAAGATATCGCTAATAGTAACAGTTCTCATAGAAGTATTCTACCTTACGTTACCGGAATCTTTCCCGTTTTAAATCAAATGAGTGATCAAACAAACAGGCATTCACTTTCTATTCGATCTACAGACTCGGAAAGCGCTGAAGAAAAG